TCATCGATCAGTTTGAATGGCAGCTTTATCCTATAGTGGTCCGATATCGGTGGTTTTGACAACTGAGCAGCTTCTTGAGGAGAAAATAACGTCTGCAAAGTTTCAGATCCAAATCTTTAAATACTGACAGATAGACAGACGGTCGTGGCTAAATCGACTAAACAAACATATACCACATATATTTTATAGGCTCTCCAACAGTTCCTCTTGGGTGTTACAAACTTCGTGGCAAACTTAATATACCCTGTTCCGATGATGTCTAGTATTTTACAAGAAACTAAAATCATTATTTGATTAAAATTTGCAACAACTACAGTCGGATGTCACATTACTCGCAATATTCATTATTTCAAAATAATTACTGAGATGGTCAAGCATGTCGTTCTAATTTTAGGCGCTATTTCTTTTTACTATTCAACAAAAGTAGAATTCAAGTTTGAGAGCCACATTGAATGTCAGATTTTATTATAATTTTTTATTAATATGTGTAGTTCCGCAAGTGTCTGCTATTTAACTACAATTGTTGAGGGGAGGGGATATCGTATCTGGTGTTAAAACGTCAGAGCTCTTGGGTGTAACCTTTGCTGGTATACAAACAATTACTGTAGTTTCTTCTACTAGCTACGAGGTCACTGTGTGATAACTATTGAACCTGTAACTTAGATATCAGAATGGAGAGTTTAAACGTGACCTAACTGGCTTTTGTTTCAAAAAATTTGGTTTGTTTGAATGGATAGAACCAAAAAAAAAATTTAATTAGAATATCAATCTAATTTAATCAAAACTGTATATAAATGTTATCAGATCATGAAAAATCGATCAGCACAGTGTGTTTATTGGATGATGACTTGGCGAAAGACTTGTTTAATGTCGTCTCAAATACGTGAATAGCTTTTAAGATATTTTTTTTTAATATGAGCTATCTACGAAAATAATCTATTACGAATTATGGCTGAATCGATTAGAATAAAAAGAAATTACAAATGAGCGTAGAAGGCTCTATTACAAGTATAGCATCACAAGCAACAAAACAACACAAAATACACTTGGCTAACCTCTTGCGCTTGGGTATAAATTCATGCGACAAGAGAAAGTACAATGCTTAACCTCCGATGGATGAAAGCCAAAACCCAAAACCGAAAAATTAAAAATAAGCAAATTGAAATAGGTTATTTGAGCAATAGCAATCTACGGCCAGACGAACCGAAATTAAAAACCACTAACAGAAGGCGGCCAGCAGACGGGAGTGGGTGCAGGCGTAGGCGTGGGCTAATCTTGGCTTACTGTCGTTAGAAAGAAAAAAAAAATAATTTTTTAACAATTAAAAGAATGACAAGCCACATAAAACAATTGGAGCGCATTGAATGTGAGGGCACACTTCCGCTTAGGGCACATCTGGGACTGCCAATGTCTAGTCTACTGTCTAACAGTCTACATAGCTTTTTATTTGGTTCACTGGCTCAGCGGCGCTTCGGATGCAATAGCATACTGCTGCTGTTAAACTAAATATTTATGGCAATCGCTTTGCATACATAATGCGCACCTTTACGTAGCGGTGGGATGAGGTGTCTGCACCCGGCAGAGCCGAACCATATCGATCGGATGTGGCAAAACCAATCAAATCACTCAAATAGTCATACAAATGGAAAGCTTATGACAAAAATGTTACAAATTACATTATATATACATATACAGTGAAGCAGGGCTGAATTGAAGAAATCATTGAAATCGTAGAGACCCAATATGGGTAAAACTTCTTAAATTCCAGCACAGCAACAGTGGTACTATCATTTTAGAAACAGAAACATTCGTAAATAATTAGATACATACATATTTGTGTACAGTTGCTGAAATTAATATTCGGACGAACATGAAAACATGAAATGTATTTGCTTCGGCGGTTCTGAGCTTAAGCTTTCAAAACAAAGCACTTGATAAGACAACCTATGCTCTAATGCTAGATGGTTAGTACATAGGGGAAACAAGGCTAACCAAAACTCTAATAGAAGCTCATTTCTAAGAATCTGTGATGAGTTTCAGGTTTATTAGTGATGCTAATATCTGACTTTGCAGACAAAGAAAGACATGATAGTAGAAAAATATTTTCTGTCGGCTAAGGCTGAGGCAAATTTGTAAAAAAAATTAATCAGACTTATTGTTCTGCTCCCTACGAGAAATAAAATGGGAACTAAAATTGCAAGATAATAAAAAAAACTAGCTCCATATCCCAAATTTTAGTGAGCAGACAAATCGGTTTTTCCTGTGGAGAGCTTTTGATCCCTAAGTAACTATTTAAAGGATTTTAAATAGTATTGTATTGAAAGCAGCTGTGAATTCCATAGCTGTCATATTCAGTAATAACTCTGAATGAAGATCCAGGGTCTACTATATGTTTGATAACATTCCAGGAAGGAAATGACGTAAAATCTTTGACTATTTTGCAGTTTCGTGGTTCAATTTTATATGAAAAACTCCAGTAATACCACTGGCCGAAGAACCAGCTCTACATGTACAAGTATGTTAACATTTCAGAAAGAAAGAAACGAAAATTGAGCAGTCTCCCCTGTAAAGACTAACACTAAAGACTGTTATATACGATTTCGATGTTTTTTTTAAGTCGGTCTTATAAATTGTGCTCTAGGATAGCAATTACTTAGGGGACAGATATGCCAAAAAACGGACGGTAGGGCATTTTTACCTGATAAACTATTTTGAATTCTTCGAAAGTTGAACGGAAAGATACGAGCATTACAGACTAGCTTCGTTAGTGCCGATCTCAAGATGGCTCCAATAGGGAAACTTTAAACGAAAGATATGTGCATGAAAAACTTAGAAAGTGTTATATCCGAGACATCCAATTGGGATTTACGGGGGCCTCAAAGAACCTTGTGTTTCTCAAAAGACCAAACAATTTTGGAGAGTGTTCCGTAACGCGTATTCGTAATAGATATTATGGAGACCACTGTATTCTTACTAATCTTAGTACCGGCTAAAGCCTAAAATCGCACGTATTATTATTTTTGCAAATCGTTAGCTTGGGCGTTTACGTAGCTTAGCTTGGGCCGCACACATAAAAACAGCATTTGAATGAGTGAGCGGTGGCGTCACATTGCCTCTTGGATTAGGCAACACTGGGCAATGAGTAACAAACACAAATATTCTTCGTCGTCGCCGCTATTGCTATATAGCGCTTACGGTTGGCTGTCGCCGTCGTTTGCTGATTTTGTCGTTTTCAACTCCTTAATAGGAAGTTTCATGGCATACATGTTTGACGTACACGAGCAATGGATTCTCACGATTGCTTGCCACACACAACTGCCGACTCCAGCTCCAGCGCCAACAACTAGCTACAACAATTTCGTATATATTATAAACAATTAATACAATAAAATAAATAAACATTTTTAAATGCGCAAATGCCGTTGCCTGCAACAAAAACAATAATCACAACAACAACAAAGCCAGTTGTCAACGAAAACGAAACGAAACGAGATAAATGTATTTTCATTGGATTTTTCCTTATTTAAGATTTGTTGTAGGTGAGCGAACACCAACAACATCGAACAATCACTTCAAATTACTTGCTAATTCAGATTTCCTTTTGTCGAAGACGTTGTTGACGACATCCTTGACTTAGTTTTGTGCGCGTGCGCAGTGCAACTTTAATGACACAGTGAAGTTGACGCACAGTTCCGAGTACTTATGCGATGGAATTGGTCGCAGATGCATTACTAACTGACTAGTGAATAAGGATTTGAAGAATTGCTGTAGGTTAATAAATTGTTTTATGCCTTATTAGTTCTATAACCGATTATGGGTGTTTTAACCTAAAAAAGCAACGTAGTACCTTCCTTAAAGAGTTTGCGGTCCAACTGTATGCAAAAGTGAGTCCGATCCTCACTTTATTCAAATTCCTTCCAAGTCTTGGCTATAAAAGTTCTTCTTAGTAATGTTGGTTCTTAGTAATGTCAGATGGAGGTTCAGTTTAATTTGAGCTGAAGTATTTGTCATACAGGACGTCAATGTTTTTTGCGAACTTTAAGAGCGGCTTGATATTTAATTTTTATACTTCCTCTATCCCCTTGAACCGCGAAGCTCATAGATATCTAAGACGAGCTCTAGATAAGGCTAGACAGAAGTATATACAAGTAGGTTGCTTGACATGTTTCTGCTCTCACCAAGAAATAGCACCACTAGCTTCAATTTTTTTCTCAAGTTGGTATATCTGTCGTGAGAACACATGCAAAGTTAGAAGTCATTCTGTCAATTAATTTGAAGCCATTTGAAGTGACGTGTCGTAAACGTTACGTTGTGTCCTGTCATTAGACCAACAACCGTGATGCAGTTCTTTCGAGATCATGTGGGTAAAAAGCATGCGTGTTTTTCTTCAGGACTCTTGCACATGATCTTGGCGGTCCTGTATATCCTTAAAGCACTCCATCTCACTCTGATCCGTCTGTCAGTCTTTTCAAATATTTCATTGTGTACCGTTTTTAGTGACTTTTAGAATTTCCCGTACTGGTTCGGTATCCAGACGGATGAAACTTTTTGTAATTTTATTTAGCTAAGAGGATTCTGAAATGATATTTTTGTACTACAACATGAATGGTTAACGGAAGGTAAAAGATTTTGAACTAAGTTTTTTACAATATTACGACTTTCTAACCTTATTAGGCTTAAGTAACTAAGGAGTAGATAACAGACTAAACAAAGAGCGGGCGACCCTTTTTAGTAAAACCTTCCAGGTTTGGCTGGCTGTAGTTTTGCCTGTTTGCGAAACTTCGGGACTCACTTTGGTTGTCTTCTTTAAACAGTATGTGTCTAGTGGGGTACAAAATTAAAGATTTATTGTGAAACGGAGTATTATTTCGGTAAAAACTATTCAAAGTTTATTAAAAATATAATAAACGATAGAAACGCCGCATGAAAATATATAGCGAACTAATATTTTGTATTACCAATTACACTGTCTACAATAGTTCATTTACGCTCCATTTCAGATATCCGCCACAAAATCAGTAGTGCCAAAACCATAATGCGCGATTATACGACATTACTGAGCGGCAGCCAGCGCGCTGTGGACGAAGGCAAATGCAGTAAAACAGGTAGCCGCAAGGAGAAATATGCGCTGCGTGAACGCCAAAAGCGCCGACTTGGCTTGGCGAGTGTGGTCGAAATGCCGAAACGTTCAAACCACAGAGGTAAGCTATGAATTGAATAATACGCCATCGCATACACAACTTTAGCATTTACTAAATCTCTGCATTTATGTATACCTTTTTGTACATTGCAGATGATGTAGAAACGGCCACAGGACAGCAGCGTACACAAAGCAGCACAGCGTCCAAATCGAAAGCACCACCGCTCAGCAAATATCGACGGAAAACCGCTAATGCGCGCGAACGCACACGCATGCGTGAAATCAATACCGCATTCGAGAATTTGCGGCATTGTGTGCCACAGAGCATTGCAGTCGACGAAGCGGGACCGACCAATGAGAAGCTAACGAAAATCACAACACTACGTTTAGCCATGAAGTATATCGGTTTGCTGACAGAGGTGCTGCATAATCCTGACTTTAATGGTGAATTGCCATTAGATTTTTTATGTACCAGTGAGGATGAAGTGATAAATCAACCAACGACAGCAATACCAAGAATAAAAGTGGAGCCCAAAAGTCTTGTAGCAGCGTCAAAAAGCAACAAAGCAGCAAATAAAGCGACAACAGCTCACAAAACGAAAATTGCTGTGCTGCCGAAGGCGCCAAAACGTTTAGGCAAGCGAAAAAAGAAGGATGTAAAGCCTGCTGCACCTGTCACACAGCCCAGCAAACGTAATACAAAGTCAGCACAGTGTCGTGTTCCGACGCAAGCAAGCACCACATCCTCGTCCATCTCCTCCTCATCATTTGTTACCTGCAGTGGCGATTCACTCTCATCACACTCATCGAGCTTCCTCGATAGCATAACCAGTCCGAGTTATTCCAGTAGTTTTGTGCCTGCTATGTCCGAGCTCAATAGTCTAACGCTCGAATCTGATGGCGAGTCGCTGCATCTTTCGGATCCCTGTAACAGTCCTTTGCAAGATAAATACGATAGACTCTTTGGCACTGGCGCTTTGAATACGCGGTCATCTGTGGAACAATCAATTATAGGTGATATCGATACGCCGCTAGAATTGAGCTTACAATTCCTTGGCACAACACCTGGTCCGCTAGACTTCTCTATGGAGCAGCCGCCGACGACATGCATTAGTCCGCTAGTGGCTTTGGACTCATTTAATCCATTTAGCGATTTTCTGCATGAATATCCGGAACAAGCATCATTAGACTTATTTCTGACATAACACGCCATCGAATGCCTTAAAATTTACTAGTATCTAACTTAGTTTGAATTTGCTTCTACTGCTCGTGTGAGCTTTATCACTATCATTTCACGTGGCCATCACTAGTATTTCACATTATTTCTCTTACATTTTAATTTAATAATCGTTAATTATGTTAATTTAAAATATATATATATATACATATATATGATGCATTTAATCAAACGGTACTGAGGGAGTGCGTGTTAAACTTACATACTTACTGGAATAACAAATGCTCTGTAATAATGCATTACTCTTACGTCCCTTTTTTAATGGAGTTGACTGTAGCTTTTAACTATTTTTTTATATTTTGTATGCTTTATAAGAAATTAAGCTAACACTTTGATATTGTTTTTGTAAATTAGGAAAGAATTTTTTATTGTAAACATTTTTCTATGGAAATATTTATTTTTTTTATTAACTAAATATTCCTTATAATTGTTGATTTTTTATTAATAATGTATACACAATATAATAAAGCGGACAAAACTTGTCGCATGTTTTAACACAAGTACTAAGGTTTCAATAAAAAATATATAAATGCAACAAAAAGGCAACAACAAAAAGTTTATGGACTTTGATTGAAATAATACGTATATGTTTGTACTTATATATAGAAACATATGTGTATATTTGTAGTACATATACGTATACTTATTATTATTACTTATCCATGTTTAGCAAATAATCAATGGGTATTTTAGATTCGCCAAAGTGCTATCGCTCAAAAACTATTTGGAAATTTTTTTACAAAAACTAAAAAAAAATTGCTCACTTTATTCTACAAAGTTTTTTTCTGATTAGGTAAGTCTATAAATTATACTCGACTTCACCTTCTCACAAGCTTTCGAACACTGAAATTAATGTGGTAAAGAAGACATATAATTCATTAATGGAAGCTGCACGATTGCACAAATTAAGAAAATAAATACAATATTTTTCAATAAGTAAGTACTTATATTACTTAAATGCTAAGTAAACATTTTTAGAGTGAACATAAAATGTAATATAAACAACTGTTTCTGATCGTCTTACCTATATTTTGTAGTATGTTGTAGCTTCTCCGGATGATAAGTTACTATTTACACGCACATTTTTAGTGTTTTTATTATGGTTCTTACAACGCAGTTGAGTCTTGAGGTCAATTCAACCTCAATCGAATTTACATCTGCCGAACATTATATAACTTCACAACCCTCCACCGCACGAGGACCCTCATCTTAGTCTTTTCAATTACAGGTATGCGAATAATTAAAAACAAATGCAATTTATTTGATTCAATCTAAATTAAGGAAAGTATTACCGCGTGAGACAGCTGTACATGTATGAATCAGAATACTATTTTCCAATTGGAGTCATTTTATTTGAGTAATATCCGTCACTTTATGGTAAGCAATCGAGAACGAAACTCCTGCTTAAAATTGACAGTCCGCACCAATGTTTTGTTGGCTACAATTGGTTCTTAAAGCAGATAGATTTAATTAAAACCTTTGAATAAAAAGTTCAGCTATCTTCCTTAAACACAGTAACCAACAGCCGGAAGGAATTCTAGAAGTTTTATTGCACGGTTATTAAGCGGCTTCTTTACCCGAAGCCAAATAAAGAAAGTCGTAAGCACATACAAATGATCACATTATTGTTGCTTTTATATGCACCAACATTTTTTCATTATATGCAACAAAATAAACTTTAATTAGAGACAAAATTAAATAAATTACGCATTTATAACTCATGAAGAAACTTAAAAGATTTATTGCCTCAGGAAACGGCATATTTGGTGCAAAGGTACAGGGCTGCATGTATAAATAAAAATTTTAATTCTGGAGGATTTTTTAACATTAAAAGAAATGATTTGATGATCAGTTGTGCAAACGCTTTTACATTTCATTTACGCATAATTTACATTTAACAACAAAGTTTATTAAGCATTCTTTTTGTTAAAACTTTACTAAGTTAAACTAATGTAATTCTATTGTATAAGTGGCAGCACAATATTTTGTTTACATTTAGCACAAAACCGGCAACACTGTGCGCATCAGCTGTTTTAATATTTTACACAATGCGGTTGTATGAATAAAAAAACTGCAGTCTTCGACACTGAAGTGAATAATATTAAACTGTAGTTTACAAGTGTAATTTGTGCTCCAACAGAAGTTCCATAAAGGCATAATGGATATCGATAATACTCTACTGCTGCCGAATAGCGAACACAAATCTGATATAAAGACACCATTTCTGATTGGTGTAGCTGGTGGAACTGCCAGCGGAAAAGTGAGTATACAAAAGGAGCCGTTGTCGCAAGGGTGCTCTTCCTAAACACCCGGAAACTTTATTTTTTTTAAATTGTAGGGAAGTGCCTGAAAAATGTTGTGAAAAAAATGGGTAAATGGGTGGTATCAAAATTGTTTTTTTTTTTAAATCGTCTTAATCTTCCATACCATCAGATCGCGGCGCAAAAGAAATTGTGACTGTCACATTTCTTCAGTATATTTTTTTCATAAGAAAATGTTTAACACGCTGAACTGGTAATTGCAGCTAAGTGATCTGAATTCTACAGAATTTTGTCGCTACAACAACAACAACTAAGTGACTTGAATATGTGATATGTGCAAAGTGAGTTAAATAAATTTTGAAAAATATACATAAATTATTGAAGAAATTCTCTTTCCGCTAACGGATTTGTAATCTACGCGTCAAAATAAGACGATTTAAAAAAAAAATTCATTTTTGAGGCCTCCTTAGTTGGGGGACCTAAACTATACATTTACCAAAAAATTCTTACATATTCATACGTATAAGCGGACGTTATGAGCAGTATATGTATGTATATCAGAACATTTTTAATAAGCAACGTTTAAGAAAGCACAAAATCCAAGTATTTGGGGTTTGCGAATTTGTTTGTTTTTAAATCTTATATTACACTTCAAAAGAAGCTGCTGAAGCAAAATATTTATATTGTATTTGTTTACTTGCAGTCGACAGTATGCAAAAAAATTATGATACAACTAGGCCAAGCCGACATGGATCAAGCGCAACGACAAGTATAGTATTTATACAACCATATGATGTTTCTCAGGGTTACTTTATTTAATTTTTTTATATTTGGTTTATGTAGGTTGTCACAATAAGTCAAGACAGCTTCTATCGTGAGCTAACGCCCGCAGAGAAAGTGAAAGCGAGGAAGGGCCTCTTCAATTTCGATCATCCAGATGCATTCAATGAAAATTTGATGTATGATACGTTGCAAGAAATATTAAAAGGCAGAATAGTAAAGCTGCCCTGCTATGATTACCGCTCAAATTCGCTGTAAGCTTTTGCATTTTTAATGCTGATTTTATTTTACTACATCCCATATGTATTTAATATCCTATTTCACTTACATGGCAGTGATCATGAGAATAAGCTAACAATTTATCCGGCTGATGTGGTATTATTTGAGGGCATACTTGTATTTTATTTCCCTAAAATACGCGACCTTTTTCACATGAAGCTCTTCGTTGATACAGATTCTGATACGCGTTTGGCGCGCAGAGGTAACACTCCTGCATAGATAACTAAAAATTAACTTATATAGCATATTTTGTGTTAACAACTATATAGTGCCGCGTGATATCAACGAACGTGGGCGTGATTTAGACGCAGTGCTGACTCAGTATATGACATTCGTCAAGCCTGCCTTTGAAGAGTTTTGCTCACCGGTAAGTGGTTTCTCTGGGAGCGTTCATTCACACGCACAAATACCATATTGGTGCAGACAATTTACATTTATTTATAATAATTGCTTATTTTCATATATTTATAGACTAAAAAATTCGCAGATGTAATAATACCGCGCGGTGCTGATAATACTGGTAAGTAATATTTTATATTGTCTGGTTTTGTTGTTGTTTTCTGTTTTTAATTATTTTCTTATTTATACCAATGTATTTGACAATTGATAACAGCCATACTATGTCCATATATACATATGTATGTATATGTAGCATTTAGTTGCGCTTCTTCGGTTGTTGCTATGTTACTTTATAAAACTACTAAAAGATTACGTAGTTTGTTATAACGCTATTTTTAACCTTTTTCTTAAAAGCTTTTATTAATATATTACAAAAACAACACAGACACTACAATATTGTGAGGTTATCTAAAAAACCAAAAAAATAAAAATCACTTTATTTTTTTTTTAATCGTTGTTGTTTACCATTTTTTTAATCGTTTGAAATTGCACTAAGCGAAAAGAAAGCTGTTATTGTAAAAAAGAAAAAAAAACATATTTAGTGCTTGATTTCCACTTTTCCGTTTTTTTGTTACTTGTTATATTTCTTACAGTTGCCATTGATCTCATTGTACATCATATCGGAGAAATTCTTAGACCCGGCGGCAGCACTAACAACTTAAATGCCTACTCGTCAGTGCACACAGCAATAAATAATACAGCTGACGGCATGGTGCGCGAACACTAGAATTAAATAGACAAACAATTAGGCAAACCAAAATAAATACAAATACATACATATATCTTATAATAAGTTAGGATCAAAACGATTGGCAAATTAATTTTGCGAGCAAACATTTACATACGAACACACATACATGCATACATACCGGGGCACAACTGTCCATGTGTCTCGTTGAATAAACTCGAGAATGTGCTAAGCACACTATCAGCACCTTTGAAGTTGAAAATAGCAAAAAAAAAAAAACTTGCCGCACAATATAGGAAAATAGCCGTCTGCAAATTAATTAACAACTGTGCTGTCTTTCCTTTTTGTAATTTTCATAGCATTAAGCTTAATGATAGCTCTAGGCAAAATATTTGCGAGTGTATTGTTTTCTCAGAAAATTAAATTAATTATTTCTGAATTGAATAACAAAATGTATATAATAAAACTTTTTTTAAATTAATAAATATTAAATTATTCAAAATATAATTGCGAATTTGATAATTCTAAAATTTTGCATCAAAAATTAGATCTAAAATTTTTGCCTTGGAATTAAAAATTGAAAATTAATGTTTAATCCAAGGTGTTAAAAATAAAAATTTGAAATTAAATTGGATTGAATTAAAAACTAAATTTTCATTTCTATTTTTTAATTTGAAAATTTAATTGGATTGAATTAAAAATTTAAAAATATTAAAAAATTTTTTTTTGCAATTTTTTATTTTTAATTTGAAAATATAATTGGATTTAATTAAATTTTCAAATTTTTAAACCAACATCTTTGATTAAAAATTTAATTTTCAATTTGGCGTATTTCAAATGCTTACACTCTATCTATTCACACTTTAAAAAAGTATGCAATTTTATTTAATTAGCTTAGAAATAAGAACGCAGTTAAATCATTTTGCCGTTCATTAACCGAAACAAATACACTTACTCTCTAAGATGAACACATACTTTAATGATTTTAGGCGTATTTTAACAAACTTACATTTCAAAGCATTTAAACATAATTTGAATGTGCTATTTTTCTATAAGCATCATAAAAATATATCAATATAATGCCTTCAAATGATGAAAATATTAACAAAAGAAAAACTTTTAGCATAACAAATATTATTAATATTACTTCAAAAATAATTTACACTTCAAAACTTTTATTTTCGTACTTTTCGCACTTTGTAGGCGCAATATGGATATTTTTATAAACCTTTCATATAGACTCAATGTTTCTGAATTTGTCTACTGAGTTATCATACATATCTAAGTAATATAAAAACTACTAATATCCACTTTCTAAATACATACCTACATATGTATTAACATTATATGTCGAAAAACCAAATGTGCACTTTATAAATATTTAATTGCTATAACGGCAAAGCTTTCAAAACCAAAAAAAGCTTAGAATCGCACTCCACAAATTTAGTTCCGCTTCAATAAAGTATTTATTTAGTATTAAAATGCAATTTATCTAGTTCATTTTTATATGGTTTATAATTTTTGAACTTCTTGGGTAGTAAATTAGTGTTTGGCTATAAAAGATTTATGCGAAGAACATTTTTTTACAGCTTTCGTTTTTGTATGGCAGCAAACTAAGCGCGTGGTCATACTCACTTGTTCAGAAGTTTAAGTTTCGTAGATGATTTTCGAAATTATTTTTCTACGAAACCCAGCATAGCAACCTCCTGTAGAAAAACTACAACGAATTAAAATCGTTTGTTGCTTAAAATTTAACAAAATGTTAAATTATTTATTTTACTAAATGCGATTTATTCCGAAAAAGTTTTTCTAGGGATTACTATTTCAAGAAAATCACAAGGAATTATTACTTTTTTCTGATTAAACTTCAGAAAATTAATAAATTACTATTTAGTGAAGCTGGAAACTTATATTTTAGTAGGAAAAATGTATTTGCAATTGCAATATAAAATTTTCAAAAAATTTTTTTTTTTTTAATTTAAAATTTTTTTTTTACATATATTTTTAAATTTTAAATTTTTTTTATATTTTTATTATATAAAAAAGTAAAGTTTTTTTTAATTTTTTTTTTAAATAAAAGATTTAAAAAGTTTTTTTTTTATTGTTTTTTCAATAAAAGATTTAATAATGTCTTTATATGTTTTTTAATAAAAAAATTAAAAGTGTTTTCATATTTTTACTAAAAAAATTAAAAAGGCTTTTATATTGTTTCCAAGAAAACCAAACTCGAAGGTTAGTAAATTTTTTTTATTTAATGAAATAAAAAGTAAAATAAAATAAGCAAGTAAGGGAGGGCTAAGTTCGTGTGTAACCGAACATTTTATACTCTTGCAACTTTGCAAGGATGAAAGCCGGGGACTTACTTTCAGGCGTTGGCAAAGCTTTATTTTAACACGAAGGGGGGATAAGGGAAGTATTGGTCCGATTGTACTCATATTTGGCATAGTATTATCAGGAAAGGATATCAATCTCTCATATTGATACTTTCGATAAAAAGCTCGCAATAGGACCTGGGGTGCACATAATCGGTATCTGGAGGCTGTAATAGTTGTAATCCGATTTTGACAATTTTCAGTAAACAGGTGCCACATCTTTAAAGCACTATTCCTGCAAAGTTTTATCTCCTGATGCCACGCCCATTGTCCAATTTTGGTATTAGCTCCTATAAGGTTAATTGTAACATCCTATGTGTAAAATTCAAAGTCTCTGACTTGTTTACTTAATGAGTTATCGCCCTCACCTTTAGTAGTTTTCAACATAACCGTTATATATGGAGTGTGCGGGGTTATAATCCGATTTCAACCATTTTAATACTGTCGAAGGGGACGCTAAAAATATTATCTCTGAGCAAGTTTCGTTAATTCAGCTTAAGTGGTTCGGAAGATATGTACATAAAACCTATTAGGTAGCGCCCCAAATCACAGATGCCACTCACCACTGTAATCGTCTGCACCAAATTACAGTTCTGTATCTGAATTTGGAGCTTAGTTATAGCACTTTATAGGGTTTCGTTTAATGGCGTTTTGTGGGCGTGGCAGTGGTCCGATTACGGCGATCTACGAACTCTTCCTTTTTTGCCAAGGAACACATGTACAAAGTTTCATCAGATATCTCAATATTTACTCAAGTTATTGTTTGCACGGACGATCGGACAGACAGTCAGTTACTCGGATTTCAACTTGTATTGTCACCCTGATCATTTATATATACATAACCCTATATCTTTCTCGATTAGTTTTAGGTAATACAAACAACCGTTAGGTGAACAAAACTATTATACTCTGTAGCAGCATGTTGCAAGAAAATAAAAATTTATATCCGGTCGAAAATCAAAAGTAACGATAATTTTTTTTTCCGAGTTAAGACCGTTTCTTAAATTTTTACTAAAAACAAATATAATTAAGGTAATAAAAAATATTTTGTCTTACTTTATAGTTTCAAGCGAAAAGTTGTTGTTAGTTGTTATTTTTGTATAAAAAAAAATTTAAATAATTATTCACCATTTTAAAGAAAATATTGGTTGATTTGCAGGGGTCTCCGATAAGGGCAATATGATTAAAAAAAAAAAAAAAAAACTAATTGTTAAGGAAATTCAAATGTTTTTCATTTAATGTAAAGTACAATCGATACAATTAACTTCTGAATATAACATCATTCAAACGGCCTTCACGATCTCTTTTGCAGGAACAAATTCGATGATCTTTCTCCACTAAATCAAGTTATTTGTCATGAATAGCACGTTGCATGTTGACTTCTACGGCTTGAAGAGAGTCCGGTTTATTGCTGAAAACAATGACTTCAAATAACCGCACAAGAAGTAGTCTAATGGTTTTTCCTTAAAAGCACTAAAAAAGGTCATATATTGAAGGATTTTTTTCAAGATTAAAGCAAATATTTGGGTTTAGTTTTAGAAATAGATCTGAAGTAAATCGAGAAAAAGAGTTGCTAATAAAATGTTAGTTACTCAATAAATTGACTGATGGTATGGCTAAGTTTGAGGTAGTTTCATGAATTTATTATCCTTCTTGGAGGCCATTCAATGCCACAATTTCTTGCAATTATCGAATCCTCAAACTTTACTCGCAATAATTCGTTTGTTGCACGTGCTGTGTGGCGCGTAGCCCCGTCTTGTTGGAATCAGATGTTCTCAAGATCAGCTTCTTTCAATTGCGGCCATAAAAAGTTGGTTATCATCGATCTATACCGCTCTCCATTGTCACTAACGGTGGCACCAGCTTTATTTCGAAAAAAGTACGGACCGTAGATTCCACCAGACCAAAAACCTCAACAAACTGTCAATTTAGGTGAATGTAATGGTTGTTCATGAATAATTTGTGGATTTTCTTTGCTTCAGAATCGACAGTTTTGTTTATTTACCGCACCACTCAGATGAAAGTGAGTCTCATCGGAGATGATTTTCTTAAAAAAATGTCAATTGGAGCACGATTGTTTTGATAATAAAATTTAATTGTAAACATTACTGAATACAATGACATCATATTACAAATTATGACATATTAAAAATGGCTGAAACGACACTTAAAAATCATATCATCCCTATTGGAAAACCCGATATTTATGCTTGTTGCTCAGTATTTTGGCTACATGAATTAAAGCTTAAGAAATAATTGGAAAAGTTAGTTTTATTATTTTTTTTATTTATTTTTTTTTTATAAAAAAAAGTTTTTTTTTGAGGTGAGTTATACTAATATAATAAAATAAATGGACAAATACCTGTTTTGCGATAAAAAAAAAATCGTCTTTTAGTGTATTAACTGTATATATTGGCATAGTTAGGTATTTTTTTTCGATGTGACCGCCAAAATATTACTAAAATAATCATTTCCGTAACAGACGGGTTCACGTAAACGATACGAACTTGGTTTCATAACCAGCAAAAGACTGGCAGTTAAGAAGCAGTCCCCAAAAACAATAACAACGGCATTTCTATAGTACTACAAGAAATGATGTTAAGCTGGCAGCCATTTTTTGGTTATAAATCTGGATAAATTGAGTCCAATTGGTCGTGGTAAGATAATTTAAATTGGACCAGTCGCCCCATTAGTATATGATTATATTTTATAAAATCTATTTCATACATTAATTTGATATTTCATGTCAATGGAGAACTTATACTATTTATTTACTTTTTTTTTGTAATTTTTTCTAATGTTTTTTTTTTATAAATATAAATATAAATATAAGTTTATTATGCATTAACAAAAAAAATTTTCTTATTGTATCTTAATTTTGTTTTCATGATACTAAAACACCTTGTATTAAATTTTACTCAGTTAAGCTAGCCACAGTATTAAAAAACGTCAATTTTTGTGGGGTAACTAATTTATTTTTCAATTGTAGTAAACATATGGTAACTATAACTATAAGTAGTTTGATAATAAATAAAATAAACAAAATTGTATTATATATTAACACAAATTGTTGAAAATATAACTAGTGTTCACCCATAACAGACACATTTTAAGAAAGCTACGCTGTCTCCATAAAACCTTTTCCGAGGTAAGTCAACAGTTTCTACAAAGTATGTATGTGTTTATGGCTCCTTCAAAATTTTATTTTCATAGCTTTTTCGTAAAAATCAAAAAAAAAAAAACAGCTGAAAAATGTTTATTACTAACAACTTAAAATACATATAAAATATACACATATCACTTACAATTGTCTACGCACATTCTCTTCCAGTGGCCATTGATCTGATTGTCCAGCATATACGCGACTTCCTCAACAATCGTTCGCGTTACGGCTCATCGACCAGCATCTCAACGAATTGCACGAACGTGGATCATGAGCATGGCAATTTTAACGGTATTGGATTTAGAGGTACTGCTACTGCTGCCAGTGGCGGCGGAGGCAGGCCGGCTACTATTGATTGCAATGTGCGCCTAATACCGCCCCCACGTACTAACAACAGCAAGCATACGAAAGTCAATAACGCTGTGTTCTATATAAGACCACATTAATGTATAATTTTAACAAAAACAATAACAATATTAAAGAAAGTACGCTGCTGTTTACTAAAGAAGACAATGTGATAACAATTTTGCTTGAACTCTGCTCATTAACGAAATTAATAATTTCAATTTGTTGCTTTCAAAGCTAATAATATATCTGTTGTAAACTATTATGCGCATGTGTTTGTATAAATATACATATATTAATTATGTATAAAATTACTTTATAAATACTATATACTAAATATATTTATAAGCACCAAAATATATAATATTTAAATGTTTTTAAGTACGCACGCTTTTGTTCAATTCATTACAAAAACAAAACAAAAAATAAACTTCAATGTGCATATTATATTATACACAATTGTACTTCCGAGTGGAAAAAATATTTTTGAATTTTCTTCATATGCGAAAGTTATGCCATGCATTTATGCACTAATAATATTTTTAAACATTTTCCGTAACCAAACATACTAGTTAAATATTCATGAACGGTTTTGAAAAAACCATATAAATTTGCTGTAATATTTAAAATTAAATCAAAAATTTAAAAAAAAATTTTTTTTTAAATTAGTTCTTGCCTTAATCGAATTCTCTACTTTCAAGTTTGAAATTCCTAAAGTTCTAAGTTGTTTTTAACTTAATTTTGAAATCTTTAAAAACTTTACACTTTTAATCCAAAAAGCTCTTTAGAAAGTAGAAATATGAATACGTTTTATTAACTAAAGTTGTAAGGAGTATTTTTTCCAACTTTTTTTAAATTTTTTCTTTGTAAATTTTTATCAAATATGTATACATTTATGTATTTTATTTATAAATACTATATATTTACTTTTTTATTAACCAAAGTTTTATGCATTACTTTTTTAAAAACATTCTCTTTTAATTTTGTTCTTTGTAAAATTTTATCTATTATACATACATACATATATGTATATTAATTTGAAAAATATATATTTTTTCTTTTTATAGTATTAACTAAAGTTGTAAGCTTTTTCTTAGCAAAAAAATATATTTTTTTCATATTTGCTTTGAAAAATTTTATCTCATATACATATTATATAATTGATTTAATAGATATATTATTATTTATTTCTTTATGAATTCAAGTTATAAGCATTATGTTTCCAAAAATTATTATATATTTTTTGCATATTTAAGTATACTTTTTTATAAATACTCATTAAGACTTTTTTCTGATGCTGAAATTATTGTGTTAAAGTGATCCACAAAATCTGATCTATAAAAAGCTCAATTTTTTTGGGATTCCATAATAGAAAAATTGTTTGAAAAGTACTGTCTTTTATTCTAAAATGTTTTGTTTACGTTCTAACCTTAAAATTCGGTTGTTTTGAAATTTATCATTCTCGGCTCTTTAAAGCTGATTTTCAAAAACTTATAATAAAATATAAAAAAAATATTTTGAAATTGGTATATTATTTGGAAAATAAATTTTCGAAATAATATTTTTTAACTTAAAATTGATTTTACGTATATACTTTTATATATGTCTATAGCTATTCAACGATCTTTGTAATATAATATAATGATCACTTATCTGAATCTATCAGATGTATTGCAAAGAAAATACCAATTTAGAAATTATAATAAACAAGTAAGGAAGTCCTAAGTTCGGGTGTAACCGAACATTTTATACTCTTGCAGCTTCATTATATTTAGTATTATATAATATCATTTCACATATTTTCGACATTAACATTATAATTATATAAATATAATATTATACGTTCAGTTAATTTTGCTAAGATATCTTACATATTGATCAATATATACCGTATAATGCCAACCGGAAGTTTGAAAATCTTATTATAGGTATATGAGAGATTGGGGTAGTATTGACCCGATTTTATCTATTTTTGGCATTACTACATATTATTAACAGAAACAACTGCTCTCCGAGTTTCATTAAGGTACCTCATACCATCAACAATATATAAAAAGTCAACAGGATATTTGAAAATCCTGATATTAGTTATATAGGAGCCAGGGTAAGTGGTTTTATCCATTTTAGGCACAAAGATACACTGTAGTTTGAGAAAAACGCTCTCTCAGTTTCATTGACTCATATATTTTCGGTTTAAGGCCAACTGGAAGTTCGAAAATCTTTCTATTAGGTATATGGGACTCAATTGGACCCATTTCTGATATACAGACATACTATTATCAGAAAAAAATTCTATCCGAATTTCAATAATACGGATATCTCAGATTGACAGACATTTTTACGGGGTTATCATTCCATTTCACCTATTTTCACACTGTCGTACGAAGTGCAAATTCGGACGATTTGGCTTGAATGGTTTAGATGATATATAAATTAAACCTATTGGGAAGTGGGGCCACGCACCTTTATTTTTTATATTTTCAAACCACAAACGCATTTTGTGGGGGTGACAATGGCGCAATTACTAAGTTTCATCGAGATATTTCAATTTTTACTCAAGTTACAGCTTGCACAGATAGATGGACGGACTGACCGTCGCCGAATTTCAACTCGTCTCTTCAACCTGATCATTTATATATACATATGCATATGTAACACTATATTTTGCTGGATTAGTTTTAGGTGATACAAACAACCGTTAGGTAAACAAAACTATTTTACTCTGTAGCAACATGTTGCAAGAGTATTAAAATTGTGCAGTAGACAGATGAATAAATATTTTTGGCAGGACAACATAAGTTAAGATTAATTTTTCACTAAAAATTTTATTGTATAAATTTTTTAAAATGTCAATCTCAGTTTTTTGCACTTATGCTTTTTTATGTTTTAACAAGCATTTTTTATTTTTGAGTGCAATCCATGATTTTTTTTTACTAATTTACTTTCATTTTATAGCAAATAGCCATTAACTACGTATTCATATAACTGTAAATTTTTGACAAAACAACATATTTGATTTAAGTAATTTAAAATAAATTTGGGCTTTCATAGTCAATGGCGCTTAAAACAAAGATTTGTGTGGTTATTTGGTTGAAAATAGTATTAGACTAGCGCCATTTGCAGCTTGCGAAGCAAAAAAGGCTAAGTCAAAGTAGGTTGTTTTGTCAAAATATCACATTTTCCAATTTTTTTCAAATAATTTATTATTCTTATAAGTGTATTATAATTTTTGTTACAAATTAACTCTCTTATTTCTCTTATTGTGAAAAAAGATCCCGATTCATTCATGGCCATACGCCGTTATTCGTCACTCTGCAACGAACTTAACATAAAGGATAATGTCTACTTTGGCAAACATCAGAATATAACGCACCATTAGAAGAGTTCGATAAGAAAACAAAAACAAAAACAAAGCATATCTGACTAAGGCAAAGTTAAAAGAGGCGATGTTTATGTTTACAAAAAATTTAAGTAATATAAAAAAATATTTTAAAAAGTATATGTACATATGTAGGTACATACATACGTATACGAGTATACTTATGAAGAGTTGCATTCGTTTATTTGAATTTTCGATTGTAGTTATAGAAATTTAATAAATAGATATTTTAATAAAAGAAAATACATTAATTCCTTACTGTGTTCTGCATTTGTACATGGCATTCAATTTTGTGATGTCACCTTTGGAGAAACCGTTACGTTGGCCCATCAAGCTCGAATCACTCGTTTGTTTCTGTAATTGTGAAAATGGATCGTTTTTACAGTCAAAATATTCCGTTATATTTTTCATTTACTATAATACCCCGTAGATACCAAAAAAAATGTATCGATTTTTACGAAATAAACTTGGGACTACACTTAAGCATATCCAACCTACATTATCATTTATGGAGACTGTCCCCCAAGCAAATTTTACAAGCCCGTAAATATATGAGAAAATTAAAAGCTGTCACCCCAGTCATGGCCTCTCTTCGACCTCTTCGAAGTGAGAGAAATCCCCTTCGAAAAAGCACTTGGTTATGTTTTAGAAAGATTCTTAACGCAGTATTAAAACAATTGAATGGTTGAAAAACCACCCTTTCTCCATTTAGCTGAGTTAAACTCCCATTCAATGTCTCACGCCTAAGTACTGACAGATTTTTTAAAATTTCTGCGATGACAGGCGAGAATAAGTATCGGAATCACTTTACCAGTACATTTATTTCCCGGATGAAAAAGCGGATTATTCTTAATCGAATCTCAATATAGAAAAAAATTTCTTTAGCCAAATTTCATGCAAGAAAATAACAAATATTGGTGAGATGTAGTGATAAACTACCATTATGTTTGGCGCTATGTTCACGGTTAAACAACTTCTACGGAAGACGGTCTGTAGAAAGGAAATAATAGAAGAAACTACCAAATATTTAACACTTTAAATCCCTATCCAAATCATATTCTGTATATAGAACGGTAACAGTCTCTCTCAACTCCCCGAGCACCTTTTTTCCAAACAAAATTGCCTCAACTTACCAGTGCCTCAATAGTTGGCTTGCCATTCTTCGAGAAACTTCTCATCGAGTAATGCATAACACTTGCATAATCATATGGTACACCATAACTGTATTGCTCCAGCGGAGAACCCTTCTCAAAGTTGACCAACTTGCCATTCTTAACATTATGACTCAGCACCCTTATATAACTATCGCGTTCGGGTCGATTGTGTTCATGTAAGAAGCCAAGTACGTGCATCAATTCATGAATCGATGTGCCAGGCTGACGGAAGCAATAACCAGGCTGCAAATTCAAAACCTGTTTGCCACCCAATCGACCCAAACTCGCCCAACAGCCGGTGCTATCGCCCGTTATTATAACATAATCGCGCTCATTGGTGCGTGGTTTGAAGCGTATGCACGTTTTACTGTGATACTCCTTGAAGGCATTATTAATCACCGCCAATTCTTGCGCACTAAAACGCCCATATAACTCATAGGGTACAACGCCTCTAGGCCAACGTGCGCTATATGCTGTAAGACCATTGCGGTATATGATTTTTTTGCCACGCGGTATAAGCAGATCGCCCTCTAGGTAGGGACCGAGTTCTTCTGGATTTAGCATTGCGTCCGCTTCGAGATTGGAGAGCTTCTCACCAGCCGTCTTGTTGGGTTGGCCGAATATGCGTTCACCGAAACGCGTTAGATCAATTAGACCCTGCTTATCGATAAATGCGGTGGTGACATTTTGAACCGGTGTACCTTCCAAGTTTGTGGCGGAAAAAGTTAAAAGCGCTACTGCGTAAAATATCAACATGACTGCGGATGAGCTGATCGTGAGCTTGACTGACATTGCGATTGCTGGCTTGCGCTTTTATACTGGCGGAAGTCAACGAGCGGTTGATTAGAATGGCGCGGCCTTTCAAGTGACATTTTACGAAGAACCGTTATAATCATACATTTTCAGGAACATTAAACCACTTCATTAACATGGGAATTACACTAAAAATAATCTATTTTATAGCCTTGGTATTATAAGCAGGAAGAATTTATGCGTCGCCATGCTTTGGACGTTGTTAAGTTGATTTCTTACAACTACAATGTGAGTATTTACGTGATGTATGTACTGTCGAATGCGATTTTATTAACACAAAGATATTGAAAACTGCGTGGTGAGTAGAGTAAAGCTAGCTTGTTCGAACCGACTGCTTCAAACAGTCTTTTAAGAATCTTAGGGTCCGCAGGCTCATGATCATTCATAGATATTAGCTCACCTTAAGCCATCAGTTGCTGACCACAGGCTTGAGGACGCCAAGGGCAATGCAGAAACTTAATTAGTAAGGCTAGCTACAGCTTCTGAGGCAGCCCGGCTGTCACTGTAGAAACTTAAGATATTGTCTTTCATTTTAATTTTAATGTTTAATTTTGGAATAAAACTTTGTACAAATAGTGCCTTTAATGTAGTCCATCTGTCGTCTAAGAGCTTTCGAAATCGAACTACTCAAGTCGGCAGATACTAAATGGGTATGTGGACTTCAGTGTTTATGGTTGACCTTATATTGAAAATATCGGTAAATGTCGGAGTTAACTTAATGGTAGGATAAACCATTGTTTGATGGAGAAAATATGTAAATCGTTCGACGAATTATTCCCGCACCCATAAAGTACATATAATGATGTTTGTTATATGCCGAATATGTCGGTCATGCCTTAAGGGGTTACATGGATTTTCTCCAGTTAAAAACGGCATATTTTTAATCATTTGTTTGTTTTCATATAAAAAATGAAATAAAACTAAACATTAGACGCAGGAAAAACAAAAAAGGTAAAAATTGTATTTTTGGCAGATGTTTTTACAAAAAAAAATTAAAATTTTTGGTGAAAATTTCTCCACGTTTTTTTACCAATGTATATATCTGTAATTGAACAAAAATTATCCTTCTTTAAGAGCTAGGAAATTATATCTCGAACACCTGTGTAAAATTTCTATAAGAACGGTTGAGTAGTTCGCGAGAAATTTTGGCAACCGCCTTTAAGAACACAGTTTCGAGAAAAATGCGTTTTGAGTTTTAAGTGACCTCGAGCGCGCAAGTTTTCAAGGCTGTCTCTCCAAAACTATTACTCGCATTAACTTAAAAATTTAGTACAATATTGTAGAGATGTTATAGAACTAAATAGGACAATACAATTAATATGTGTTGCCAACACCTGAAAGTACAATATTTGCCTGCCTTTGATCTTAACAAATTGCAGAAATTTAAATGGCTCGTGTGTTTCTTCTCTTCATCTCGATTTCTTCTAACCACACACTGCGACTGTAACACAACTTTTATTTAATTTCAATTTTGACTTTAACGTTCCAATTAAATTGTCAACATTTATTTAGCCACCACTGTACATCCGCCACATCCAACTTGAACACAACAGCAAACAGCAACTTCCTACGCGCGCAATCGATCAATCAACGCTAGCGCAGACACAAACCCACAACTAACTGCCGACTCAAAGTTTGACAGTGCAACCATAAATGAATTTAGCAATTGTTTTTGCTCACAAACTTACCTGTTCAACACACGCTCTCACCGTCGTGTTACCTGTATGCCGCGCTCATTTCCACACGCTACCAGCAACGTGCGTACACAATCGGTTTTTCCTTTCCAAGCATGCGGTGATTTCTAGCCGGCTAACCAACTTTACCTGTGCTAACTTTTGCATTTGCTGTTAGCCGCACACTAACTAGCCTACTACTTAGTAGCCTAGCTAACTAGCGGTCAACATTGTTAACAAAGTGAAACTTTATTCGTGTTATCTCGTTTCCGTGTGGCAGAACGTGTACGCCCGATTGTGTTTGCGCGCCGAATGTTGGTAGCCAGTTGGTGCTAGCGGCTGGCTTAGTGCAGCACGACAACCTGTAACTTCAGTTACGTTTTGATTCTCGAACCTGTCGGAAGTTGTGGACAAAAGTGCTCGTAAGTGAATTCGCTGATTAAATTGTGGCGGTTAGTGCGCGTCTGTGTGTGTGTGTTTGCGTGCGTGCATATGTGTGTTAGTGTAGTGCAGTGTAGCGCGTTAGTGTTGTTGCAATGCCAGTTAGCACACATATTGCAAATGAAATGGCTACATAGCGCTTTGGGCCAGTGCGAATGAAATGGCCATAAACGGAAAGGTGTAAATTTAATAAATGGCAAAATGAAAGAATGAAAATTTTCACTACAAGTTTCAATAAGAAAAGTAAATGCATAATTAAATAAGTGTTTGGAAAAAGTAAATACATAATTACTAGTATTGGAAAAATAATTAGATGGCATAGAAACGTGTTCAGAGATTATTCTAAAGTGTTGAAGAATTGTTGGTAACGAAAATTAATGCTTCGCAGCCGGACAGTCCGTCATCGTTAACGAATTCGCAGCCACTTTTGATGTTTTTGCTGTTGTTGTTGTTGTGTTGTGAGGCGAAATAGGTTTTAAGACCAAGTTGAAAAGCAATAGTAATAACAACAACACTGGCGTATGACAAAATAAAAACAACAACAATAATAAACCAGTTTACAGCGCCTGAATGCATTGTTGTTGTATATATGCTTACATGTATATAAATACATATATATATGTACATATGTATACAAATAGATACATATATATACATATGTGCGCAAAACAACAACATAAGTAAATATTGAATTTTCAACTATTTATTTTCGTTGCCGTTCATAAATTAATTTGTGTTTTAGTGCATTTTTAATTTTTACTCGCTCAATTTTATAACGAGTAGGCTCATTCATCTCTTTAGAAATGTGTGTTCTGTAAGACTGTCTTTTGTGTTATGCTGTCGCAAGCGGGTTTGCGCGTTTAGACAACGCATTGGCAACAAATTTAATTGTAGAAAAAGAATTAAGAAAATAATAAAAAATATAAAAGATTAACAAATATAAACGAAAAGTTCAAAAAAAAAAATTAAGAAAAAATCCACAAAAATTTAAAATAAATAAATAACGAAAGAAGTAAAAGCTATACAAGTAATAATAACAACAGACACAACCGTTATCAACGTAGTCAAAGTGAAAAAGTTGTAAAAATTAACAATAATAACAACAAAGCGCAGCATGCGCTGCAAACCGAGCAACGCAATTGAAGTAATTGGAATGCACGCTGTTGCGAGCAGCCACTTTGACAGCAGCAGCGACCGCACCATGTCGTTAACAACAAAAAGCATAACAACAATGACTACGACAACGACAAGGAGGCAAAGGGCAAGTGTCCAGCAACAAGGTTGCGCAAAATATGCGACCCAGCGCGGTTGTGGTAGCAGCAGCGCGCAGCTGCATTTTCCTCGCGCGGCGGCTGCGAAAGCGCAAACGCAGCGGATGGAGTCCATCTACCGCCTGACAGCATTCTTCACGCCCCGTTGCTTGTTGCTCGCGTTGCTGCTATGTTTCACACACGGTAAGTTTCTGAATAGTGAAATGTTCAAAGGGCATTTGGCATTTAGGCAATTTGAGGAATTCAGAGTAGAGTGCTGTGAAAATATTGCTGTGCAGTATTTCCATTGGCCGTTGAAGCTTTTCCGAAACAACATTCCATTGAAAATATAATTGTTTATATTCAAGGCTTCGCAAAATTTTTTTGAGTGGCGCGTTCGAATATTACTAAGAATTCTTTCATCATTCTAAATATTATTTAATTCAAATAAAGTTATTAATTGCGTCATGTCTACAGAAAATAAGGTATGCGTACAATTATAAAAAACAAACAAGAAAAAACATTAACTTCGGTTTCACCGAAGCTATAATACCCTTTACAAATACATAAGATACATTTGGTCGTTCAGTGTGTATGGCAGCTATAAGCTATAGTAACTCGATCTGAAAAATTTCTTCGAAGATTGCATCAAAGTTTTCCATACAAGCACTTGATTCCTATAGTTCAGTTTGTATAGCAACTACTTGTATGTATGTATGCTATAATGATCCGATCTAACCAATTTCTTCAATAGGCAATACTCCATACCAAATTTTGTGAAGATATCTCGTCAAATGAAAATGTTTTATACAATCATGAAATCGTCGTCGTTTATTTCCTTGTTCCAGCATAATTACTGAAAATATCAAATATTAAAATATGTTAATTTAGAAATTTTCCTCAATCTAATTTTTTTTTGGTTAGGAATTTCTGTACGGTTCAAATCAATTTTTAATCTAAGTTCATAGTTAGTGACAAAGTCTATCATTTTTATACCGTATACACACTCAAAGGTTCTATCGCTAACGTTTTTGATATTGGTTAAGAATTTAAATTGAACTCAGAACCTGCTGTGTGCTTACTTATTATACTTCTACTATATTTTAGTGAAATTATTCTCCTTCATGGCTGTCTTCTTATAAGCAAAACCTTACAACTTTTCTTTACAGAAACTAGAATAATTTATTAATTTTTGCATTCTCAAGAGACTTCCGTACAGATGACAGAACGTTCTTAACAATCAATGATGTTTTTATTCACTTATTAAAAAACTTCATTACAAGTTGCGTCTATTTCAAATTAGTCATGTGATTTTTCAAATATCCTTCATCTATTAAAACTCAATATAAATTTAAAAATATATAAAATACAGAATAAGAAGTCATTTGTGGTGTATGTCTTCGCCGATAAATTTCCATGAGAGTATGAGAGGTTAGAACCTGACGAACTCGATCAACGTTTCGGCCTTGTCGAGATATGAATAAAGGGTTGTGAAATTCTATGTTGGCTCCGAAAAAAGTAGGAGCTTTGAATTCTGACATTACCAAGGAGGTATCATCAACATATAGTGGTAAAATACACATAAAAGAACACGAATAAGACGGCTTCGGTATAGTACAAGCTCGTTCTCATTTCTATTTACATATATTACCTTTTCGATCTCCCTTCTTAATACGCAGAACAATGAGAAAATCGCTTTTCGAGATATGCATATAATTTCGTATGCTTTGTGAAGAATTCTTCGCCACGCCAAATGTCATTGCATACTTGTATTGATGGTTTTGTTTCATCCTTTTGCTTTGGATTTCTTTATTTTTCTTTTTTGACTTGCTACCGCAGGTACATAAATCTGTATGTACAAGTATATAGATATGCGCATAAATAAGTATATATTTACAAATTAATGGATGCAGGTGTATGTGTTCAATTGCAAACAATCGTAAGCTAGACTCGACTTGACGTGAGATCGTGTCTAGAAGTGGAACGTTCAGCGCTGCTGTCAAAGTGAAAGTGTTGTATTACCAAATGGTCTGCACGACGTGTAGGAATTTCTCTCGATTGGCGGGTTTTATGTCTTTTTTATTTTGCACGATCGACAACAAGTGAGGAAGAAGATCGACGTACAGATGCTGGTACTAACATATATGCAAGCATGTGCGCGTCTCCTTCTGTTTAACACTTGTTGCCGCTGAAGAAAAAGTTGTTTTAATTAAAGCATCCAAGTATGTCAAGTAGGCGAGTTGTGGAAATCGCTCATTTCCACTTGTGATAATGAGAGAGAAGCCTTTCACTTGTTGAGTTGTTATTACTATAAATTTTTATGCCAATTGTAGATATGTATATTGCAGCTATTCCTCGATTGTTTATGATGCTGATGCTGAAAGGAGATTTTCACTGAAGGCAACATTTTATGGCCAATTCAGTTTACGACAGATACTTTCCATTGCGCTTGGCCGTTTATGCCTACAATGGAGCTTCTGGTTTCAGCTAAACTTGTGGGAGAAAAGATTATAGAATGCAGCTGAGACTTTCAGTTGTTTTGGATTCTCTTGTGAGAGATGCTCAAATGCCCATTCAAAGGAAGTTAATATTATGTATATGTATCAATAGTATGGAGTTGTCGATCAATGCAACTACCGGATAACCGAAGAAACTAAGCGCTTTGAAGAGCTTGAACCCAAAACAAAAAAGAGAAGGTTAGATTATTACATATTAAATTATCCAGTTTCGTAAATATTTTTCTGATTGCGAATTCCAATGACTCAATTTCCTAATATAGGGTATTTTCTGGAGTTTTGTTACTTTTTTCTTTGTTTGTCCAAACCTTCACTTTTTCGGGAGGCAATGAAGCTTGGGTAGTATCTTTCGGATTGTTCGAAAGGTAGATATTTTCTTATTTAGATACGCTTTTTGACAGTAAAAATTAAAATATTAGACCAGATAAACGAGTAGTAATTTAAAAAGCCAAGTAACGATCGTGGATTTAACACTGCTGACTATTTTTGTGGGGTTAAGCGAACTCGCTTGTCTCGGCAGGAATCTATTCGAGTCAGCCGTTCTCCTGAAAAATATTGTTTAAGATAGTAAGATGATCTCATTGCATCATATATCGCATAACTTAACTATCTATTTGATAACAGCAACTCTGCCCGTTACATCAACAAAATCAGTTAACGGTACATATTTGCGGCTAATGACGGCCTTGTCATTTACGCAACTTACATATTGCATTTCATATTTCACAAACGAATATCGATTTCAATTGTCAATTCGTTTGTTTCTCTTTTCTTCAATTTCAATTCGCGTGGCTGTTATGACGGCCTTTTCCGAACGATGACATGTGACTATGATGCTATGAAACGCTATATGTATGTGAGTTAATTGTGACATGCAATACCGCTAGAGATCCAAGTGCACGTGATTGTCTGTGTTCACACGATACCCTGTTGGAAAATCCCGACTACATAATATCAATGTATTCACACTGATTTTAAGTTCGAAGCTTTTTTTGCTGTATGCAAAAATATCGCAAAAAAGTTGGTAGAAGTTAGAGCCTGTAGTTAAAATTGCATGCCGAATTCGAAAACAACGTTGTAAAGTTCAATAGCTCAAGCTGAAATGTTCCTCTACGTTATCCTGTTGAGAATTTTTGTTTCTAAGTTGTCCCTAAAAAAAGCCAAAACAGAGAGCAAGCATCTTCAGTGTTAAATATATTTACTCAATATAGGGCCCGTTGTCCGATACTACTTGAAATTGGAATGGTTGCATACATTATGTAGAAATGAATTTTCCAGTGCATATCTGCAATTTCCAATAAAATAAAACATTTGTTATGCCGATTCCATAGAATGAGTTCCACAGTAAATTATCCCTGGAATGCCATCGCTGAAATAACAAAGTGTTATCTTTAGAAAATAGACGAATTGTCACATCGATAATCAGACACCTTCCTTTCGATTATCAGGTTGAAAAGAAAGGCATTAGTACACAGAAACTGCAATCAAAACTTTTTAGGGAACTTCTAGCACTTTATTCTTGATTGGTAATCGCCTAAGGTACTTTGGACGAGTTCATCAAGTGAAAACGTTTTCTTTACTTCGGCTTTTTACGTCGGATCACCAACTGGACCACAATGAACTCTTACACAGCTAGAGCCAGTTTAGTTTTTGAGTTATATACCCTGACAGGGTATATTAAGTTTGCCACGAAGTCTGTAACACCCGAAAGGAAATGTCAGAGACCCTATAAAATATATAAGTTACGGGCTGAGTCGATTTAGTCATGCCCGTCTGTCTGTATGTATATACGCGAACTAGTCCCACAGTTTTTTAGATGTTAATGTGAAATTTTGCACACGTCCTTTTCTCCACAAGAAATTACTCAATTGTCGGAATTGCAAATATCGGACCACTATAGCATATAGCTGCCAAACAAACTGAACGATCGGAATCAAGTGGTTGTAAGGATTTTTTTTTATTTAACGAGATATCGTCACGAAATTCAGCATGTGTTATTATCCAAAACAACGGTATAATCTCTGAAAAAATTATTCCGGTCGGATTAATGCTATATTGCTATAGCTGCCATACAAACTGATCGATCAAAAGCAACTTCTTGTGTGGAAACTTTTTTATTTTTGGAGGGTATTATAGCTTCGGTGCAACCGAAGTTATCGTTTTTTATTGTTGTTTTGATATTCATACAGAATAACTGACGGAAAAAAGCTGTCAACTCTAAGGCACAAGTTTGTAGGCCAAAGTTTTCCTACACGGAGGCTTATTGTATGAAGGTGCATCTAGGGGTGTATTAACGAGTTTCTTTTAACTTATTTGTATGTTGCGTTCCGTTGACAAAAATAGTACAATAGGTTGTATATTAAAAGATTACAAATAAATAGAAATTGCAGCTGTTGTAGTAAAATTAACAAATGCAGCGTGAAAATACCAATAAGCGTAAAAGCTGGGCTCATTAACTCTTAAGCGGCAGGTTTCAAGCTTGCTACAGTGCTAGACAATATCTAGGTATGCACATACATATGTATGTATATGAATAGAAAAGGCAGTTTCTGACTGCTTTTATTCTCTTACGGGTTCGGTTTCGGCATTCAGTCCGCTTGGCGTAGAATTTATGGGCGTATTCACATAGCGATAGCTGACAGCAGCCATAACAGCAACAGCAGCAGCACACTCATATTCATAGAAATA